GTACTAACTTTTTTTTATCACCAGGCCATACAGATCTGCTCTGTGTGTGGTTCCGTCAGGCTGCATAAAATGTAAATGTCTGGAGCAATGCTTCCCCAGGTATTCTGATTCTGGAGCAGAGGTAACAAAGGCATGACACTTCTGCAAAATCTTGCTCAAGTAGGGTATCTGGCTGAAATTAGGTAGCTTTACTTCTTTATCAGTGGAAGTGAGACTGGAAACCTTTCCATTTCTAAAAGATAAATGAACCTGACCCATCAACCAGGAGTTCTAAATTCCAAATAAACCTACCTGAAATCAATTAGAGTTAAAAGAAGATGACATGTCATCTTAGTTGAGACTGATAAACAAACATTAATGCTGTAAAATGTTTTCCCCATTAGTAAATGTGGCACTTTACAGGAACATGACTTATTAATTTTACATTTTTGAGCATTGCTGTGGATCACATGTCTTTTTTCAGATCTCCATTGTGATGTAAAGCCCTGGGGACCTCATAAGCAAAACTGAATAAACTTTAGTTTGTATGTACATCAATTTGAATCTATTATCAATCTTAAAGCTGCCTTGTATTACCTTAAAAATTGTGTTTTTCTAGGATTGATGACAGTGGGACTGATTACACCCTCAGCAAGTTTGCCGATGGCCCTAAGCTGTGTGATGCAGTCAATACGCTGGAGAGAAGGGATACCATCCAGAGCAACCTTGACAAGCTTGAGCAGTGGGCCCATGTGAACCTCATTAAGTTCAACAAGGCCAAGTGCAAGGTCCTACACCTGGGTGAGGGCAAGCCTCAGCACAAATACAGGCTGGGCAGAGAATGGATTGAGAGCAGCCTTGAGGAGGACTTGGGGGTGTTGATTGATGAGAAGCTCAACATGACCTAGCAATGTGTGCTTGCAGGCCAGAAAGCCAACCGTATCCTTGGCTGCATCCAAAGCAGCGTGACCAGCTCAAGGGAGAGGATTCTCCCTCTTTACTCTGCTCTGGTGAGACCTCCCCTGCAGTACTGCCTTCAGCTCGGGGGCCCCCAACACAAGAAGGACATGGACCTGTTGGAGCCACTTCAGAGGAGGGCCACAAAGATGATCTGAGGGCTGGAGCACCTCTCCTATGAAGACAGGCCGAGAGAGTTGAGGTTGTTCAGCCTGGAGAAGAGAAGGCTCTGGGGAGACCTTAGAGCAGCCTTCCAGTACCTAAAGGGGCCTACAAGAAAGCTGGGGAGGGACTTTTTACAAGGGCATGGAGTGATAGGACAAGGGGCAATGGCTTTAAACTGGAAAGGGAAGACTTTGATTAGATATAAGGAAGAAATTCTTCACTGTGAGGGTGGTAAGGTACTGTCACAGGTTGCCCACAGAAGCTGTGGATGCCCCATCCCTGGAAGTGTTCAAGGCCAGGTTGGATGAGGCTTTGAGCAACCTGGTCTACTGGAAGGTATCCCTGCCTGTGGCAGGGGGGTGAAACTAGATAATCTTTAAGGTTCCTTCCAACTAAATCATGCTATGATTCTATGATGATTCTGTAATTATTACTTGGTCATTTATGCTACTTGATTCTGTGGAATATTTTTCACCATATGAGTCACAAATTTCATTTTCACAGCTCTTCACTACACTCTTCATCTCACGTAAAAGCTCAATATAGAAACACAGCTTTCTTATCTATACTGTCCATTTAACTTCTATGTATTATTGTTATGTGTAGGTGCCTCAATTCTCACATTTCATTGGAACTGCAATCTCTTCAGTGACAGAAAAGCTCCACCTCATTTTCCTTATGCTTTGTACTGATGTAAAGTCTGACTTACAGACTGAGGTTGCAATCACTCTTTGCAATTTTTTCCACTTTGTGACTCTTCATTTCACCACTGCAGCAAACCAGGGGTGCATCACAGCTCTTTATTCCCACCCCCGGAAGTGCTGTAATAGTCTGATTTCAATAGAGGGCCTACCAGCAATAAACTCAACTATTTCATAGTTGAATTACAGCTTCATGATATCTTTCAGCTATGGACTGATTCTGTCCACCTTCCCACTTCTTTTTCACTCCCGCTCCTGTTGTTTCATGTGTTGTGGCGTCACCAAAATAACTTTGCTGAGCAAACTGTATGGAGCTAAAAAGGGCTCTCAATTCATGGTATGGCGCTTTTATTGATCCCTGCCAAAGGCCAACCACAAGCAGCACAATAGCTGGAGAGACTGGAAACCTCTGTAATAGATTTCATTCAAAGGTAGCTTTGATGCATAGTGCTAATCTCTGCTCTAAATCCACAAACTTCTCTCACTTCTTTGTTTTTCTATCAACGCACAGGAAACACCACATAACTATGCATAGGCCTAGAAAAGATGCTGTGGATAAAGCCATGTTTCAAATTTTCCATATGACAAACTATGTTAGAGGTATTAAAGCCTCATTTAGGCATCTCTTCCTAAAACTAGTTAATCTATTTGACCTCTAAATGACAACAGGTAGCATTGCCAGGCAAGGTTGTGGATGACAATGGACAAAATTGTGCTATACTGCACATTCTTTATCTTTTCATCTAAATACAGAGTAACGGTTGGCTAATGCTAAGAAAACTTGTGTCAAGACTTGTAATCCACATGTCTTCAGTTTATGTTCCCTGTTGGATCTATTCACATTGTTTATGGAAGTGTCAAGAGGCTTTTCCAGAAGAAAAAAATCAAGCTGAAGATCTTCAAAGCAATTCATCAATTGAAACCCACAACAGCAAGATTTTATATTACCTATATTTCTTTCCCTGTGCATTCACACAGTGAAATCAAACACTATCCACACAAGTAATTTAGAAATACTAGATTTCATAACGGTTCTCCCATTATAAGCAGGTTATTCAAATAATGAATTACCACTCAATAAAAATTCCTTCATTTAAAATTTCATAAGGGAGCAAATTAGCAATCCACATCGGAACCAAGCACGGATCAAATTAATTGTGTGTGCATGTTACACACAGAGGATTTTATGCATTAAGTAAACCACCATTAAATGTTTAGGAAAGTAAACAAACCTCAGTGTTCTTTTATTCACAAATACACATGCCATCTAATCTGCTGCAAATATTGGCATTAGATACAGTCACACTCATAAATGTACTAGCGTACCATACTGGTCCTTTAAAATTCTCATAGCACTGCCATGTGTCTTATTTAAGATTAAACCTTTTATTTTAAAAGGTCCAGCTTATGTAATACAATTAAATTTCCAGTCTGCTTTAATAATCATTACATGTTACACACACTGAGGACAAACTGGTCTTTATTCTAGAAGTACATGTGTGTATATCAACATGTCTGCAGCCACACAGGAATTCCCAAGCCCATGTTCAGTGGACTAGTCACAAAGTCAATCCCAAATACTTTTGCCATATCTAGGTATTAGATCATAAGCTTCCCTCTGGGTAGAGAATCATTAACAGGGTTGAACAACTTGCACAATCCTCACTAGAGCTTCTCAATATTCAAGTGATATTTATCAATGATTCAGAAATTTAGAAATTCTGTAACAGCAGCAGCACGGATTGGGGACAAGATCTAAATGGCATAACATGGAAAGTGCTGGAAAAGAAATGATGGTTCTGATTTTCTGCTGTGCTCTGCCTTAGTGTCTCTCACGATTCTGGCCACAGTGGTCTGGGCTGGCTGCCAGAGGTGCAAAAGGGGTATCTGGAAGCTGGGTGTAACACCGAAGTGTATGCTGGTACGTGCATGTGAACTTGTGCATTTGTGTGTAAATCACTCTACCTCTGTGCACATGGGAAAGCAGATGTGAACACTTTCCCTTTCTTTTGCAGCATGGCCTATTCTAAGTGCAGTTCTTGTTTGAATTGAATGGTGGGTCTCGACACTCATGGGAACAGAGATTTTGGCCCTGATCATTTTCATACTAATACCCAAAATACGCTGCACAGCAGAGCCACTGGTGGTCTTAAATGGTTAAGCAGTTCAGCCCTATCAACACAGGGGTGAACACGCTTTGTGTGCACCTCCCTAGTCTTGTCCTATCCTCAAGAGGAACTTCAGCCCTAAATACAGCTTTCTAGACTGCGGAAGTACTCCTGAATGATGCTCAACTTGTACACTGTACATCTACAGTATTGAAACTGTCTTTTACTGATAACTTTTACTTCTCATAAATTATTTGTCAAGTAAAACCCGACAAATACTTCACAGAAACAGTGATCATCCAAGGACTTAAAAAAACCCTTGACTTTGTTATCACCACTGAAAAACACCAGAGACTTGGGGTTTTGTTGGTGAGAGTGAGTTGCATGAACAGCATAAAAAAGCTAATGGGATCTTCTCCAAACTTCCTTTCTAAAAGAAAACCAGAGGAAATCCAACACTACAGTCAGTGATGAAGCTATTAACCACTGAAATTGAAGGATTAAAACAAAAGTGTGTCTTGGGTATAGATATAAGACAATATTATATTAACTATAAATCCATAATTAAATTATGTTGATAGTTATCTATTATAGTATATACTCCAAAGATATGACACCATTTTTCAAACACATTAAAATTAAGATCAGTAGGAACTACCAACAGGGTCACAGAAAAGAGGATTCTTATTTTAATCCCTCATACACCAAGTCCAGAAAAAGACCAGAAAACATCGTACCATCCCACACTGCTCACCTTCATTCTGGAAGCTGGTTGATTTACAGAAGGAGATAAACGGACATGAATGTTACATGTGACTTTGCAGAGAAGCACAGCACAATGATTAGTGAATTAACGAAATTCCTGTACTCCTCCATTAATAATGCTGGACCTTATGTTCCAAGAATAGCACATACTTAATAGCATGGTATTGTCTTTGCTTTGTTTTAATGAGAAACAGAACCTTAGCAAACAGATAGTGTGTCAATTCTTGTAATGCTATATGCCATTCAGGTAAATGTCCTCAGGTATGATATTTCATATAAAAAATGCAAAGGCTTTTGCCTCAGAGACGTATGCGGATTTTCTTACCTTTGGTTCCATTGAAATGAAGCTGTGGGTACCTCTACTTGAGAGAACTGATCTTTTAATAGTTTTACTATGGTAGAAGTGGTAGTAATCCTTCAGTGTTCCAATCTGTAAAGGGAGAGAAGAAAAAAAAGAGGGAGATTTAATTTATGAAAGCCATTTTTCTGCTTTTCATTTCTAAAAGTCTATAAATTATGCAATTTACTCTGTGCTGAAATGTTACTTGAACCCACTGATCATCTTTCAAAAGGAGGACATATGATATGAAATGGACAGAGTGTCCTTGAGGCAGTAACTGCGTAACCAAAGATTATAATTGAGCTGCTTAGTCTGGCCATATCTACCTTTTTAATGTTTAATTTATATGCAGTACTTTAAGTAATTCTATATCAATCTATATCCAAACTGTCTTCAAATAGGAAGTATAAAAATCATCAAATGGCTATATGGTTATTAAAAAGCATTCCATCTAGTTTGCTTAAGGAAATGTACTGTAAAATGCACTAGATTCAGTTATTTATATAATTAAATTATGAAAAGGACATTCACAACATCAGACTATACAAAAGGAACAGGGTTCTTTTTCCACCAAATGTGGGCAAAAAAGTAGAAGAAAGATGGAAATGGTAAATTCGTACAATAATGACCAGCTCAAAGTACAAAATCAATTAATGCAAAATTGCAAATTTCACAACGGTACAATAAAAATACTTCTTATTCATCCAATCAGTACACAGTAGTAACGTAAATATTAAACTAAGCCAGCCTTCACAATTTGACAAAGAAATTTTCCTTTCCAGAGTCATTAATATCTAGGCATTCATGACATGAAACTTTAGTTTCATGCACCTATAAACAAACACTTAGCCTCCTTGTCTTTAGGGAGAATGTCTCTCCAACTCGTTTGGAATTTGACCTTCTATTGCACTGCAAATCTTATAAGACACTTAATAATTTCTTTAAAAGTTCTTTAATGATGAGCAAAAAATGGACAATTGAGCTTACTGTCATTTCAAGTTGAAACTCAAAATGACCTCAGAAAACAGGCTTAGTTTTGCAAATAAATATGAATGAAATCACCAGAGAGGATGGAGCAACACTGGAAAAGTTTAATCTTAAAAAAAATCAGTATTCCGAATTTGCATCTGTAAAAATACACATGTAGGAAACTTGATAGTTCAACAGTAAAGGTTCAAAGGGAACTGGAAATAAGCCACTGAAAAACTCCAAGAAGATGCTTTTAGAATATTAGAAAACTAAAATCTTGACAAAATATCAAAGTAGACTAAGAAGAAATATTGATAGAAAATTATTATTTTCAAGGAATATTTGGATATTTTACCTTAAATTTAAAGATGTAAACAACATAGGGGAATGATGGAGAACCTTTTCAGAAAAAAAAACTTCAACAGTCTAAGATATTAATCCCCATCTGTGCAGTTGGTCCATTGGTATCTTTACTTCAGGACAGGATGACTTATATTTACTTTAAGTCAAATACCAAAACATTTAGTTAAACTGACCTAGTTTATTATAAATTAAATTGGACTTGGTTTGACTAAGCCTAATTAAAGTATATTAACACTGCAATAATAATTTTCATGCTGCCTTCTGTTTGAAAGGCAACTCCAGCTGAAGTGGTGCAACTCTGTAGCATGGATGAGCCTGGTCTCACATCTCCCCACGCATGCCCAAAAATAAACCCTCCTTTAAACATATATAGGGAAGTTTTCTTGTGGACACCTCCTTGTGGACACCTAAGAGCTGCAGGACCCTTGGCCTTCTGGGGAGGTCCCTGTTGACTAGAAGCTAACCAATGTTATCCCAATTGACAAAAAAGGCAAGGGAAGACCCAGGAAACTATAGACCTGCTAGTTTAACCTCAGTTCCTGGAAAAATTATGGAGAAGATTATACTGGGTACTACTGAAAGGCATTTAAAGAATAATGCAATCAGCAGGCACGGACAACACGGGTTCACAAAGGGAAAGTCCTGTTTAACTCATTTGATATCCTTCTATGATAAAGTCACTCACCTAGTGGGTGAAGGGAAGGCCATGGATGTAGTTTTTCTGGATTTTAGTAAAGCTTTTGATACTCTCCCTCACAGCATCCTTCTGGACAAGTTGTTCAGCTGTGGGATGTGCGGGTTCACAGTGCTCTGGGTGAAGAACTGGCTGAAGGGCAGTGCTGAAAGGGTTGTGGTGAATGGGGGTGCATATGGCTGGTGACTGATAACCAGCAGTGTTCCTCAGGGCTCAATTCTAAGGCCAGAATAGGGTTCAATATATTTATCAATGATCTGGATGCAGGAGTTGGATGCATCATTAGTAAGTTTGCTGATGAAACTAAATTGGGAGGTGCTGCTGACTCTCTTGAGGGGCAAGAGGCCTTGCAGAGGGATCTAGACAGACTGGAGCATTCAGCAATCATCAACGGCATGAGATTTAACAAGAACAAATGCTGGATTCTGCACCTAGGATGGAGTAATGCCAGACACAAGTATAAATTGGGAGAGGAGAGGCTGGAGAGCAGCCCTGCAGAAGGATCTGGGGGTGCTGGTTGTAGATGAGCTCAATGCGAGCGAGTAGTGTGTCCTGGTAGCCAAGAGGGCAAACCGTATCCTGGGGTGCATCAAACACGGCATAACCAGCCAGTCAAGACGGGATTATCCCTCTGTATTCAGAGTTGGTGTGGCCTTGAGTACTGTGTGCAGTTCTGAGCTCTACAATTTAAGAAGGATATTAAGGACCCTGAATGTGTCCAGAGGAGGAGAACAAAGCTGGTGGAAGGGCTGGAAGACATGTCCTGTGAGGAGTGGCTGAGGACTCTGGATTTGTTTAGTTTGGAGAAAAGGAGGCTGAGGGTCAACCTTATTGCTCTCTGCAGCTTCCTGAGGAGGGGAGGTGGAGAGGGAGGTGCTGATCTCTTCTCCCTGCGATCCTGTGATAGGATGCATGGGAACGGTTCAAAGTTGTGTCAGGGGAGGTTCAAGCTGGACACTAGGAACCATGTCTTTACCAAGAGGGTGGTCAAACATTCGAATAGACTTCCTAAAGAGGTTGTTGATGCCCCAAGCCTGGCAGTGTTTAAGAGGCATTTCGACAATGCCCTTAATAACAAGCTTTAACTTTTGGTCGACTCCGAATTGGTCAGGCAGTTGGACTAGATGATCATTGTAGGTCCAAGTGAAATAGTCTATTCTATTCTATTGCATTACTTTTGACCACATTAACTGGAGTTTATTCTCAGTTGAACAGCCTGTAGCACACTGAATGCCCCTTAACATCAGGCTACTGTTGCATCCAATTTGAATTATTATTATTTATATCAAGGATTGAAATTTGGTGCCAGCGTTAGCACCAGTGCAGGTGACGGCACACTTCCCTGAGAGAAAGGGGTGGAATCGGTCACTTCTGGACATTTCCTGGACTCATCAATAGCCTCAAACAGGGCTGAAGCGCTAACTATTGGAATGTGATACTATTCTTTCTCCTTAAGTCCTCAGAGACCAGTAAAGTGCATATTCACTACACCAGAGTACTCTACAAAGGTTACAGACCTTTTACAGACCTTGCTGTCTTCAGACTAAATTAGAAACCTACTACTCTGTGTTCATGTGTGTGTGTCTACACAAGCACCCACACATTACTGAAAAGACACAGCTCAAGGAGGTAACTTGCATTTTACCCCTGCGTAGAACTGCATAAATAGAAAGGTCTATTTTAGGGAAAATAAACATTTGTCCTGTTCTGTGCTACACAGATCTCAGTATCACCCAGATTTCACTATCACCCAGTTCTCTGTGCCTCGTCTTGCACTAGTTTGAGGACTTTATTTATTTATTTACTAAAGATAAACTGTAGCTGACCCCTCTGAGGGCATCCAAAACAGCAAATTCAGGAGACAACCTAATTGCACTTCTGGAGATCCTATCGTTTAGAAGCACTAGCCACTCACAGGAGAGATTGGAGGGATCTGTATGCTCTGCCTTTCAGCCAAAGGTGGACAGCCTGAGGCTTTGTAAAGCTTGACAGCTGTATTCCCTCTGAGACCTTGGGATGGGGAGACAGAATTAAGCCCTTAGAATTAAGTGTGGTAATTGTAATGCCATGTCTTCCAGGCACAATCAGTTTTCAGATAATAACAATTACTACTAATAATAATCGATTAAAATAGTGAGATCTACAGCTTTAACTCACAGCTGCCAATGAATAAAAGGATCCCAAATCTTTTAAATGGAATTTAATTCATATTCACTAACTGCTAGTGCTTCTCACAGTAAGGCAACACCAGCATTATTAAAAATTTTATTGCCCTCTTTTCCCTTAATGGGAATTTACTTAGACCTTCCAAATCCTTGGACCACTTGGAGAACAGTTAAACCATGGAAATATAGCACAATAAAATTTATCATTATAGATGTTCTTGTTAAATTGTCTTTTATACTTTTAACTACCAAGTCTTAGAGGCATTCTCAGAGGAAAAGCAATGCAAGACAGAAACACCAGATTGCAGAGCTAACTACCATAGAGACTAATGGCAATTTAACTGCTTTATGTTTGGGAAAACTTTGTAATCTCCTTTTTGACCTGGAGGACCTGATTTCTCTAAAAAGAAGTAGAAAAACATTCCTGAGGAATTGCCTCGCCAAAAGCAAGGAGAATGGATGGCGGGGGCAAGGGAGACTTACTCTCTTTAGAAGTAATCTTCATCACTGAACATATTAATTAGATATATACATACATTTTAATAGTACCATACTATATTTATTCAAGGATGAAATAATTCCTGGAAGTAACAATCCTACAATACCACAGTGGAATCCCAGAAAACCAAAGCATCTGCATATTTACATTAATTTTATATTTATTAGGTCTTATTTTCTATTTAAAGTTGAGAAAATATGTGAATTTTAAAGAGAGTATGAAACAAGAGCCAAACTTTCTAGGCTTGTCCTTGGAAAATATTTCTTCCATATGTATTTTTATAGTCTAAGGCAGTATTAAGATAATTTAGGACAAAATTACTGGATTAATTCATCTACATCCACATTGTGTCCTCATAAACTCTATAAGGAAATACAAATGCTAAAGCTGCCAGTTTAATCTAT